TGTCTTCCTCTGTTCTGTCCTCTATACTCACTGACAGAGGTGTGCATCCTTTGTAATTATCTTCATCCTTCATGTTCTCATAATTATCATCATCACTGGTTTCATCTGTATCTTCCTCTGCTCTGTCCTCTATACTCACAGACAGCAGTGTGCATCCTATGTAATTATCTTCATTCTCCATGTTCTCATAATCATGATCATCAGTTTTGTTTTCATCCACTTCTTGTGTGTCGTTTCTGTCTACTGGTTGAACATTCACATAGTCCCTCTCCTCTTCCTCCTCCTCCTCCTCCTCCTCCTCCTCCTCCTCCTCCTCATCTTCATAACGATTTGTGGCAGTAACTGAAACATAAGTAGTAGAAAAGATTGACTGACTGATGCACATCTATATCACCGACATATTTGTTCATTTGATACATTGCACAGGTAAGGACAGACTTTGCATCTGGACATGGCCTTCACGTTGTTTTGCTCGTCGTCTCCTGATTACCAGACACACCACCGTCAAGACCAGCAGTAGCAGCAGGATCGCAGGAGGAACTACTAAATAGACCAGCAGCAGCCAAGGAACTAAGAAATAAAGGATTACAATATGGAAGCAATTAGTTCATGGTGGCCTCAATGACTGCTGAGTGCCCAGGTACAGTACAACAAAACCAAACTCATTTACATCTGTGCTTAAAAGTTAGTGCAAAGTGTTTGTGCTGATATGGTGTGTTTAGTTTTTGCCATACATGATACTGTTCAATATAGCTGAAGAGTCTGAGATGTTGCTCTTGGTGTGGCAGAGGTTCGGTCTCTGACTCTGCTGCAGTGGAGGGGCAGTACCGGGAGGTCGAAGAGTACAGGTGTGAGGGATTTTAACTGATAAGCTCTCCCCCCTTTTAGTGTCTGGAGTTGGGAAGGAGAGGTGTGTGTGGTGTGGGAGGGAGCTGGAAAGCTGGCTTCCCAGTTGAACACAAGGTGCTGTAGCAGTGGAAAACATTGTGGATCCGAATAAAAGTGCTATGACTGACAATCAAATGGTGTGTGGGTCCTGATTTCACACTTGGGTTTCTTTGCAGTTGAGGCAGTTGATGGAAAGTCCACACTCCCAGACACATTGTGGAATTGTATTAAAACAGACCTGACTAGCTGATGATCAGTTAATAAAGTGCATTTGATGAACAGCTTATCCTGTAACTTATCTTCATAATTCTTATGGAAGCAGTAAGGCTGTGGTCAGGTTTTCTTTCTTTTTCTTTTTTAATTTGGCTTGATCCATCCATCCCTTACTTTACTGTTATCTTGTATATGGAGTTATCTGTTGTCTGTGACAGTATGTATGGGGTAGATATTCTCATGGGCATCTCCATGTCCTGTTAAAAATGGCTGGAGGTTGTCAAGCTAAGAGGCCAGCAACTTGCATTTTTTTCTCTTGATGGGAGACTGATGGAAGATTAGCATACCAGACAAGTTGCCACTAGCTCTGCTTTCACCGTTTCAAGATCAGTTGCGAGCAGCACTTAGTGTGGAAACAGAGCGGCATTAGCATGCTGTCTGTTGAAGCGCTCTAACATCATAACAGATGACTTTTGTCTTGCAACGTGAGTGATGTAAGAAACTGCAGGAAGGGGTACTGCTCCTTGTGTTTGTTTATCTTGTAGCCAAGCATCTAAAGGATTACTGTTGCCATGGTGTAGATCAGCTGGTTGGTTTCAGTTACGGTCTCAGCAGGGGTTGTCTGTAATGCTGCATTCACATCTTCTAGTAAACTTTCTGTAGTTTTGGTAGTCGGGCACAGATGGACCAGGTTCCCAGTACAACCACGATCTTCTCTTTCAGGTCAGCTGTTCTCGCATTCAACGCCTTCATCGCACCAGTTGATCCTAGAGCTTAATACCCAATCTAGGAGAGTGAAAAGGATGATATCTCCCCCTTTACCTGATATTACTGATGATTATTACTTCTCGCCCTCTTGCCGTAGAGTTTGTGTTGTACATCGTCAATCTCCAGTTCTTCCAGATGTTGGAACACTGGGACCCAAGGTAACACTGAGTTGCTGAGTTTAGATGTGGAGTGCTGTTTACACCAATTTCTGATACTACTATCTGAATGTTGCACAAATCAGTACTCATTAGAACAGGGAACAACAACCAGTCTTCTGTAGTCTAATATTGGTGAGCCTGTGTGAAATGTAGCCTCAGTTTTCTGTTCTTAACTGACAGTAGAGGAACTTAGTGTAGTCTTTACCTGGTGTAGCTCATCTACTGGAAGGTCTGATGTTTTGTGCTTTCAGAGCTGATCTTCAGACTTTGGCTGAACAATTTATTTGAGTTAGTGTTGCCTTCCAATCAGCTTGTAGATATTTTCTCCTTTTTGGATATTGATATTGATATTGATATACCTTTATTAGTCCCACAAGGGGAAATTTCATAAGGCTGTCGACCTATTGCACGCAATGGCGGCGCCATCTTACCCTCTGACCATACATACATTACACAAACCATCACATGGGGAAGACAGGTCAGAGAGGTATAACAATGGAAAATGCACCACATGAGGAAAGATAAGGAGAAAAAAA